TGATATTATTTTTATATTCGGCTTACAATAACATCCCTACTAATATTATAAATGCGAAAGTCCTGATGTTTGATACACTTTCACGCAAAAACTACTTAACCGATCATCATGAAAATTTGTACACATATTCTTTGTGGTCCCCGAATGGTTATAGGCTACTTTTTATTTTATAAAAAAATAATTTTTAAAATAAAATAAAGAAATTGTTTTGCCAATAATACCTCTGCATCTGGCTAATTGACTACTTTAACGCCATCTAGCATTCCAGCAATGAAGCTCAAACCTAAGTACTATAGTACCATCACACTGTATTATCACACTGTATTACCGACAGCTACGTCAACATCAAATCCAATTGACTACACTATGGAGACTGTACACTATACTTCCATAGACTATACTTTCAGCCATTTTAAACTTCCCGCCATTCTACTTCATTGTTACTTCTTCTGTGACTACAGACGCGTACAGAAGCAACTTCATTATTTTAGATATTCGCGAGCGAAGCCGCGGGTTAAAGCTAGTATATAATAAAATCTTAAATATTGTTAAATTTGAGCAAAAAGTTAAAAATAATTTTTATCTCTTTTATTGATGTTTCTATAACCTACAGTTGATAATTTCAAGGCTTTTAAAGATCTCGGCCATTGTAACTAATTATACGCGTCGTGCGGAAACATTTTTCTGCGACTTTTAGCACGCTCGATTAGCGATGCAATTGCGTGACGCAGCGGGTTGCATGCAAAGCAGTAAAGCCGTAATGAGCATGTACATTGCATTAAGCTATTTGCACTTAATTGTGCGAAGTGTCTTACAAATTTAAATGAATAATACAACAATAATCCATTGAGGATTGGCAGTTCAATTGTATTTGATTAACCATGTGGGTGTTTATCTAACATGACAAATAGACATGTCTAGGTCTTTCATTTTATTACAATTTTATTACTCAGATATTACACTTCAATTAAATTAAATTTAAATAATTGTTAAGTAGCACCTCCAATGATTTTCCAATCGTGATACATAAATAATTTTATTTCATCTAAAATGATATCAATATTAATTGAATTTGAGTACGTTCCAAATGAATAGTTACTCCTTTAAATGTTGGAATATTTAAGCGTTCGAATTCACATTACACATGAAGACGCCAAGCATGGCTGGGTGGTTTTGTTCGGTTATCGAAATCGTTCGCTTGGCATTAAATAATTTATGCGCGCAGTTTACTTTTCAACGCGATTTGCGCCGCATTCCCAACGCAATGCATGCCAGCGTCAGCGGCGGCGGCACGAAAGTGCCCCGCCACTCGAATTCAAAGACGCCTCCATTAATTATAAGACATTATATTGCGGCGCGCTCGCTGCCAGCGCCGCCGCCATCGTAATATAATTATTCAACCCCAATTAATACTAGTTTAACTAAGAGGGGCAATTTCGGCCGTTCGACGAATCGTTTAAACTTCAGGTGCGTAAATAAATCATCCCCCACAGGCTACACCACCCGCGTTATTCACACGAGCCTCTATAATGTTTAATTTTTGATCTTATTGAAATTAACATTTATCAACTGATAACGTAAAATATTTACGTTTTTTGTTTTGTTTTTGGTGTTTGCATGCATTTTGCAGGAACGTAAGTAATAAATTTAATAATTCGTTATTCCTGCAAAGTCAGTGGCGCCCGGGCCGGGGTAGTTTTGCATTTACATGCATCGCGCGCTCGCTTTTTGCGCGTGCATTTTCGTTTTCCACGGAAGCGAGCGCAAAGGGCGGTGATTTATCGACATCGCACACCACCACGATACGGCTGACTGTGTGCGAGGGAGCATAATATGCGCCAACCCTGCTTTTACACCCGGGCCAAAGCAAAAGCAAAAGGGTTGACTGACGTCGCGGCGGCAAGTAACGACTTTTGCATCGCTGCATGCCCGCCTGCATCGATGCCATCCAAAACCGACCTCATACATCCACGTACTCCAAATGTGTATATCATGTTTGGTTGCTATTTATTACGAGCTCATGTGATAGTAATGCTGGTTATATCAAAAGTCAGTATCTGCTAGTACTGGTGGAGCGGCTATCCTCTCCCGGATCACATTGTTTAATAAATAAATCCATCCATCAGACGCGGACATCAGATACCGCCCACATGTTTGTCCGCCGTTCTGACAACCAGACAAACCGTCGATCCTCAAACCTTTACACGTCTAGCTGTAGTCTTGACTTCAGACCCAGATTTAGGAGTAATTTCAGTTGGAGCTTCAAACTCTAACTTTAATTTTAGATTTAGATCCATTTGACGTCCGTGTCAAATCAACAGTGAGTCCATACCATACCAAAAATAGTGTTTTATTCACTTTTGAGTAAATAAATTTATTTTTTTACTCATAAAACGTTTTTATTCAAATTTTGCCTCCAAAAACTTTAAAAAATGTTTTGCTTGATTGTTCGTCAATTTCTTCAGTTTATGCTCAAAAAAGTCCACGTCATTGATCCTGAGTAGGGAGTAGGAAGACCCATTCAATATCTTATCCCCTTTGGACCCATCACTAGTCTAGTAGTGGTTGCAACCCCCAGGGAAAATGGCTATGAGCGATGGCCATTATTTCACACGCGACGAATATAAAACGTTAGGCCTCGGGATAGGCAAGTAAAGTTTACTTTCTCGTCATCGATTGAGGATGCGGCGACAACCACCGGTTGACCCTTATCAACCCTTAACTTCCTCACCCCTCGCAAGAATAACATGCTACCTTCAAACGACCATTTTTGTGGTGAAACATTAAAAAACATTAAAAATTTACGCGAGCTTTTACTGAATGAAGATTCGTTTAACATTTTTTTCAGCAGGGGGAACATTTGACGCTTATTTCCTGCCGCTGGCATCTCATTTTCTTCAGCGTTCGTTATTCTTTCAATGGTGAGCGTTCAGCCGCCAAGCTATCACCTATGCCGACGTCTATCATTTTCGATTTACAACGCGGCGGCGTAATTACAGACGACGACAGCGTAATAAGAACGTTGACGCAACGGGAATTAATTAAATGTTGTTTTTAACGCTTAATTACAGTGCATGCAAGCATCGCGTAAAATAATTACAAATTAGCGTTAATAAAATAGTCAAACCCTTAAATATATAGTGTGGAAATAGAGTGAAGTCCTCAAATGGTGTCACCAGTAGGTATTGTAGAATAAATAAAATCATGTGTGCAGTTCACACGCGGTAGAAGTGAAACCTTTAGAACACTGCACTGCGAGAGAATCAGGCGAAAATAGTATCAGGAATTTAAAATTTTGAATCTTTTAAAACAATTCGTCTGCGCATCGTGCGCGCAGGTTTTTGAATTCGTAGCGTCAGTAGTGCGACCTTGCACACTAGCGCCGCGAGCGTTCAACGGTCATTTAGTTTTTCAGTTTTGCAGCGATCAGTGCAACAGGCATCTCTGCACCAAAAACTGCTGAAAATTAAACTAATGCGTAGTAAATTAGTGTTATCAAGTGCAACTCAATACAGATCGTAGGAATAAGTAAGACCTCTCATAATTTATACTTCATAAGTCGCAAATTAGTGGTTCGTAATAGAAAAATGCATACTTCGGAACCAAACATGGCATTCATTTTTGTATGTTACGGCCTGGTTGTTTAGAAACGCGAATAGATGTTTTGTTTGTTTGAATACACTGCGTTTCTGCGTGAGACTCGGCGTCTTATCAGTAATACGGTCTCTTTTTTTATTGGCTGTCTTTCAATCGGTGCGAATGTTGAAAACAAAACAAGACTCGAATGTTTTGATTTTAACGTTTGCACTGCGCTGGCAGAGATGCGCATTACGCTTCGCGCAGTGACGCGTCTCACAGTCGGTTACCACTTCGAGTGTAGCGCGCAGCTCAACGTTAAAATCACTGAAAATAAAAGTAATCTTCAGAATATTATTGTGATCAAGTGCAACTCAGTACTAATTGCAGTAACAGGTATAATTTCACATAATTAATACTTTCGGACTTATAAACTGATTTTTAACTAATTTTAATGAAAATTATAATATTTTGCATGTATTAAAATACAATGTATTCGTACGTAGTTCGGCTACACTGACCTCTGTTACACCGACGTCTATCATTTTCGATTTACAACGCGGCGGCGTAATTACAGACGACGACAGCGTAATAAGAACGTTGACGCAACGGGAATTAATTAAATGTTGTTTTTAACGCTTAATTACAGTGCATGCAAGCATCGCGTAAAATAATTACAAATTAGCGTTAATAAAATAGTCAAACCCTTAAATATATAGTGTGGAAATAGAGTGAAGTCCTCAAATGGTGTCACCAGTAGGTATTGTAGAATAAATAAAATCATGTGTGCAGTTCACACGCGGTAGAAGTGAAACCTTTAGAACACTGCACTGCGAGAGAATCAGGCGAAAATAGTATCAGGAATTTAAAATTTTGAATCTTTTAAAACAATTCGTCTGCGCATCGTGCGCGCAGGTTTTTGAATTCGTAGCGTCAGTAGTGCGACCTTGCACACTAGCGCCGCGAGCGTTCAACGGTCATTTAGTTTTTCAGTTTTGCAGCGATCAGTGCAACAGGCATCTCTGCACCAAAAACTGCTGAAAATTAAACTAATGCGTAGTAAATTAGTGTTATCAAGTGCAACTCAATACAGATCGTAGGAATAAGTAAGACCTCTCATAATTTATACTTCATAAGTCGCAAATTAGTGGTTCGTAATAGAAAAATGCATACTTCGGAACCAAACATGGCATTCATTTTTGTATGTTACGGCCTGGTTGTTTAGAAACGCGAATAGATGTTTTGTTTGTTTGAATACACTGCGTTTCTGCGTGAGACTCGGCGTCTTATCAGTAATACGGTCTCTTTTTTTATTGGCTGTCTTTCAATCGGTGCGAATGTTGAAAACAAAACAAGACTCGAATGTTTTGATTTTAACGTTTGCACTGCGCTGGCAGAGATGCGCATTACGCTTCGCGCAGTGACGCGTCTCACAGTCGGTTACCACTTCGAGTGTAGCGCGCAGCTCAACGTTAAAATCACTGAAAATAAAAGTAATCTTCAGAATATTATTGTGATCAAGTGCAACTCAGTACTAATTGCAGTAACAGGTATAATTTCACATAATTAATACTTTCGGACTTATAAACTGATTTTTAACTAATTTTAATGAAAATTATAATATTTTGCATGTATTAAAATACAATGTATTCGTACGTAGTTCGGCTACACTGACCTCTGTTACATTGGCAAGGTGAGCGCGATCGGCGCGCGTTATCAGTTGTTTGTTTACATTTCACATTCTTCTATCTTTACTTCGTTGCAATATAATACAATAAGTAAAAGATCAAAACGCGATGTATTTTATAAATGTAAATATTTTAAGATTCTTATACAAAGTGACACGCGAAGTAAAATTTTACAATATTTAAATATTTCGAACCCTTTGACTTTATTCGTATATTAATACTGTATATTTGTAGATTATTAAAAGAATGCTTCTTCGATCAATATTTCGATTGCGGACATCTCGCAAACTACAACAGATAGGAATGAACGGATTGAAGATGCTTAATCTACAGGTAATTCTCTAGTGCACGTATGGTATTTTTTTGGTATATCCCTACTTTATAGCAATTCAAATAGTTATTTAAAATAAAGTGAAGTGAAGTGAAGTGAAGTGCGCGTTAAAACAGAGAGAAGGTAATACCAACGCAAATTATTATTTTATTATTATTTTCAGAAATCAAAAATGTTTTTAATATGTATTGATTGTTCTTTCTGCTTGTCTTTCAGGTTTATATTCGATTTTGGTTGATAATGTTTGTAATTCGGGCGCGTTCGATTACCGGTTATGTATTAATTATTATTTGTTTTCAGGACCTTCTTTCTCTCTGGACCATTATTCTCCTCATACCTTTAATAACAAATCCTCATTATTCTGTTGAAATTACTTTTACTACATTAGTTTGTATTGGATTCCTATATTCAAAGATAAATTTTAGTTTCATTTTCAAAAGTTATCCCAACAAGAAAAAAATTCAATTCAAAGTAATAGATCTACTAATCCTGACCCACTCATTTCTCTATAATATTAATTTACTTTGCAGATACAGCAGATTTATCGCTAATATCGGTTGACCTGGAGAGGTGTAACGAAAACTCATCGAGTGCGGGTCGCGTCGCGGTTCACTTAAACTCTTATCAATTCGCGGCCAAGTCCCCTGACTTCAATCCAAGGTGAATCGAAGGACAATAGTGCGCTTTAGTCAAGTTTTTTTTTCGTATTTCCGACAAAACGAGTGCGTGCCGCGTGTAGTAAAATCCGAATCAGTATCGTGTAATAATAATCCGCCTCGGCCTCTTAAAGTGTTCGTTAAACACTGTAGACCATCAAAGACATTCAAATTCCATACCAAGAGGGCATATGAGGGTGAGTCCACTACAAGCAACCTACCAGCGTTTGGACACAAGTTTGGATAAAATTATCGACGCTTCCTCCTGAGAAACTAGTCGTAGGATCCCAGTTTCTAGGAGCCGGATATAAGGTAGGTGTGGTGATGACCTGGACCGGAGGGTAGTCTCGAGTGCCTCTGACTGGCGGATGCGCAAAGCTTTTTGCTGCGTATGTGACAGCCGAAGGGGAGACACACTTGGGACTAGGTCCTTGGTCCAGGGATAGTCCACCCAGCATTGCTAGAAACGCCGGATGTCTTTAAGTAGTGAGTACTCTTTCATTTTGGGAATCTAGGTTTGGGTAGCCATTATTAGGTACCAAAGGGCCAATTATGAGGGAGGCTGTTTTCTTGGGAGAAGACCTGAGTCAACTTCAATTTTTTTTTGCATTACTTTTTTAGGCAGGACCATTTTTTAGTGCCTGGCATTGTGATAAGGAGAGGGAAGCACCCCGATTTTCGTCTTGTGCAGACTTGATTGTTTCAGGTTCTTATTATTACTGTATCCTAAATATTGAAATATTTGTTAAGCATGTTTTCTTTTCGGATTATGCTTGTAGATTAAGACTTTGCGATCAGATCTTAATTATCACTTTTAGTTTACGAGATAATCGCGATTGAATGAAATGGGCAAAAATTGAGAAATGTCACTTTTTAGCACTTTTAGTCGCGTTTTTCGACCCGTTACTTTAAGAAATATAGTTATTTTATATTTTTATCAGATAGAGAATTTTCCAATCTTTCATAATTAGCAATTGGTGGGTTGCTATCGCTTTTAGTTTAAGAGATATTAATTTTTGAAAATCGTCAAAAAAAAGTATCAAGCACCCCCCCTTGGCAATTTTTTTCTTAAGAATGAAAATTTCATCTCTCAGATTTTCGTTTTAACTATCCTATCTGATAGAGAATAGTCCGTAGATTAAAACGCCGCGATCAGATCTTAATTATCTCTTTTAGTTTACGAGATATTCGCGATTGAAGAAAATGAGCAAAAATTGAAAAATGTCACTTTTTAGCACTTTTAGTCGCGTTTTTCGACCGGTTACTGTAAGAAATATAGTTGTTTTATATCTTTATCTGATAGAGAATTTTCCAATCTTTCATAATAAGCAATTGGTGGGTTGCTATCGCTTTTAGTTTAAGAGATATTAATTTTTGAAAATCGTCAAAAAAAAGTATCAAGCACCCCCCCTTGGCAATTTTTTTCTTAAGAATGAAAATTTCATCTCTCAGATTTTCGTTTTAACTATCTTATCTGATAGAGAATAGTCCGTAGATTAAAACGCCGCGATCAGATCTTAATTATCTCTTATAGTTTACGAGATATTCGCGATTGAAGAAAATGAGCAAAAATTGAAAAATGTCACTTTTAGCACTTTTAGTCGCGTTTTTCGACCCGTTACTGTAAGAAATATAGTTATTTTATATCTTTATCTGATAGAGAATTTTCCAATCTTTCATAATAAGCAATTGGTGGGTTGCTATCGCTTTTAGTTTAAGAGATATTAATTTTTGAAAATCGTCAAAAAAAAGTATCAAGCACCCCCCCTTGGCAATTTTTTTCTTAAGAATGAAAATTTCATCTCTCAGATTTTCGTTTTAACTATCCTATCTGATAGAGAATAGTCCGTAGATTAAAACGCCGCGATCAGATCTTAATTATCTCTTTTAGTTTACGAGATATTCGCGATTGAAGAAAATTAGCAAAAATTGAAAAATGTCACTTTTTAGCACTTTTGGCCGCGTTTTTCGACCTGTTACTGTAAGAAATATAGTTATTTTATATCTTTATCTGATAGAGAATTTTCCAATCTTTCATAATAAACAATTGGTGGGTTGCTATCGCTTTTAGTTTAAGAGATATTAGTTATCGAAAATCGTCGATAAAAATTATCAATTATCTTGGCAATTTTTTCTTATGAATTAAAAGGAAACACTGTGTATTTGTGTTCTCTTATTCTCTCGTATGCTAAACCATATAAACGAATATGTTTGCCTCTATTTAGTGTCGTTTCATTCATTTTGAAGTCACAACAATTCTAAAGATGTTTTCATTTCAAAAATGTTTCTACTCATAAAATTACAAAATTGAACGCATAAATGGATTCCAGTGAGCTCAAAAATGGCAGACACTAAATTATATTTTCGCTTGTTTTTATGTCTCTTATGCTTCCATTATCTTTAAGTCAGTCTTAATACTCGTCTGTTTTCGGTAGATACTCTTAATATTTGTCTTGATTTACTCATATCTAACTTTTTCCTCGCGGCGTAGAAAAAACGTTTCGTCCAAAGAGAGCTTTCAGCGCGCAGAAATATGATTAGAGCGGCTTTTTCAACGCTCCAATCTCCCCGACAGAAAAAAATCCGAGCGCGCCTCGCAGCAATCCAAACGAAATTAAGGCGGCACACGTATTTGCGGAGAGCAAACGTAAAAAAATATTAAGTTCAAACATTTTTAGCGGCACTAACGCTCTCCCACATACTCGGCGCGCAAAAGTGTCTAAAAACCAGACGAAAGCTTTAATGGACTTAGTTGAGATTTCTCCAGCGAAAGAAAAAAAAATCCCTGACGCACTAACTACGCGAACAAAACCAACACTCACAACCAGCATGTTACAAACGTTCTTTGGATACTGGCTCAAAAAGTGTTATCATGCGGTGCGTTTGTTTTATAGACCGCGGAGTTTGGTTAAACTTGATTTTTCTTTTAGTTCTTCTAGCGTTTTATTCGCTATGCATGAAGTCTAGCTCAAAGGATAGCGTATCGTGTGGTGTCGGGTTTGTTGGTGGACTAAAAGAGAAACTGAGCAACGACTCAAGAACTGAAGAAGTGGCGCGCGCGGCGGTGGAAAAAACGGCGCGTCGAAGAGTGTTATTTTCTTCAGTAGCTAACTCTCTACGCCCGCTAGGTGCTAGTTGAAATTTATCTCGTTCTCGTAAACTTCGCTCAGAGCTGCTAGTTTTCTAGCACGACTCTTTGGTTTCCGCCGCCCAAAAGTAAGCTCTAAAAAGTTTATCTACGTGCAAAGCAACTCTAACCAAAAGTAAAACATAAAAAAAACGCCACAAAATTGACATCTACGAATTATAATCTGTGACTGAAAAGCAAAAGACGTACGAAAACAAATGTAGTTTCTGTTCAACGAGCAAGAATTGTTATAAATTTCTCATGAAAGTGTCACGAGCAATCGAGATGGAAAAATCTCAGCGTAAAATTTATCGACGTTGAACAAGCTGAGATCAGCAAGAATATTGCGCCAGTAAACAATCTGTCATGTTTCCTTGGACATAGAAAAACTATGTTCTAATATTACTATTGAATATTACTCGTATTACATTGATGAATAGCCGCAATCGGAATTATGATGCACTCATGGTAATTGTGGCGATTAATCGCTTGTCCAGGATTATTGACAATGTGAGGGTTGTACCACCCTCGAATCAACTAATTAACAGCCAAACAATCGATTAATTAACATGCAACTGCATTAATCAACCATTTTAAACAATTTAAGACTTAAAAATAAAAATATTCGTAATAAATTCAAGTGTGGCGAGCAAGACAAATCTACTTGTCACATTCTGCACGCGCCTGTCGCTGAACATCCCCCTGGGGCTGTCCCGCTTGCAACTATGAGTTTTACGAACGCAATATTAGCGACGACGCGAAGGTTTGCCTAAGGAGAGCAATAAATGCAACGACGGCGGCGGTGCGCGAAGACGGAAAACCGGAAAGACGCAAGCAGCGAGCGACCGAGCGACTTTATGTGTAATTTCATTTAATGTACTTAATGGGTATTAAAAAGTTTATTAGATAATTAAGTTGAATGCTGGTTCGGCGCTTCGGGCTTATCGTGCGCTACAGTACGTTAAACAAAATCATTGAATTATTAAACATTTTATACATTTTGTTTAAGTTGATGAGAAAATAGTCACATTAATTTAAAATTGGTTTCGTAAAGATTCGAGTACTTTACGAGTGTGCGAAGTTTTAATCTGCGTTAAATTTTATTTTATTACACTTTTACACTTTTTATATATCTGTGGATTTCTAAGCAGCACTTCCGGTTGTGTGTCGATTAATTGGAAAGTTGGCACAAAGCAGTGCGTAACCTTAAAGTCAAACCTCCGATTTGTTTTTGTTTTCTGGGCTTGGAGTTTGTTTATTTCATTTCTTTCGGGCTTTCCAGAGCGAAAATTTGGTAGGAGTCGGCAAGCCGTGACCTCCCGGAAGTCTCCGGGTCGCTGGGATGCGGTTTGTTTGGAAACTTTTAAATTTAATCAAAACTCGCTTTTCCTGCAGCACCGCCAAAGCACCGTACACATTCGGTTTCCAAGGGTAGCTAATCCCTCGTTTGATGAAAGGGCTCATATGCGCGTCGGTATGTTTATAGCTTTGAATGTTGCACTATGAATAATCACAACTACTCTCTATAATTGCTCTCAAACTGAAACATGTTTTTCTTACATTTTGAAATCAGTCAGTAATCATGTATTCGTGGGGCAATCAGTAGTTTAGCCGGATCAGTAATTGATCTCTATTGTGAATTGCTCCGTATAAATATAATCCCCGACGCCGGAAGTAAAATAAACTTTTTCACATTCGACCATCCATATCCAGGATAATAAGGATCGGATAAGGATACCCGGATACAATCTCGCGTAGAGCCGGACTCAACTGAAACTCGCCTGCAGTCGACGGACATTATACTCGGAATATGACGATATTGAGATTGGAGATAAAGGACGCGGAATTAAAAAATAACCGGTTGAGATTAAAAACATCGACAACGTCCCAACCAGCTCCACTAAACACAGACAAATTTACTGTAGAGCAAAAATATTATTTAACAAAAATTTAAATTTAAAAAAATGAATTTTCTGATTAGTTTTCATAATAATATTAAGTTTTAAGGAATTTTCTTGTTATACTCTTATGGAGATAATACAAAAACGTAAAAAATTAAATATTCAACTGCAGCGCATTTGAGCAAAACGCAAACGCTATTACCATTAGCGATTTTCAACCCTCAAGCCTCAACAACACTGCTCTCATGTATACGCAGCTCGCCCAGGGTCCGTTATTGAGGGTAAATTAATTTCTGTTTACTAAAAATATATATCCGACATATATTTCTGCCGGTTATCTCCAATTACTGCTAAATTTGTTTGAGCGCCGCGCCGGCTGCATCCGCCTCTTCATTCACCCTCTCACTTTGGCGCAAGGGCTTCTAGGGTCGGTGGTTGTTCGATGTAATTCCATTCTGCCATTAAAGCTCGAGCGCGCATTAAAAAACCGCGCCGCGCGAGTTTTTTTTTGCGCCGATGGCGGTACAAACATTAGGGGTGGGAAAAACAACCCTTAACCCTCAACCCCAAACTCCAACCGCCAACCCTCAACTAATTATAGCGTTTTTTCGAGTAGCAACAGCCCAAACGGTGTCTTGATTTATAAATAGCAATTTCCTAGAAGTTTGAATATGTGGCATGCACGTGGCTGATATGAATCTTATATAAAATCATCAGAAAACGTTTAATTTATTTAAAAAATATTTTTTGTTTGATTTTCGGAGAAATTTTATTTTATTCAGATTTATATGCGGGTGTTGTTGAAACGTTTTAATTCGTTTCGGATGGCAGGACGCTCGACTTGATGTTTACCTCTAATTTCGCAACAACAGGACGAAGGATGCGCGGCTTCCAGCCAGCTTTCAAAACACGACGTTTTGTGCGGATTGCGAATGTGGATCGCATAACGGCCGCTGTTTTATTGGGTAATAATTTGCGGAAGGATTAGGGTGTGCCTGCATGCCTGCGTTTTCCGGCAAGGAGCAAGCGGAGAGAAAGGGGAACCAAAGCGTGTTTTTGTTGCGACTGAATTTATTGCTGACAACGCTTAACAAACGCTATATTTACATCTTGCACATAGGAATTTAAATTATTGTGCATAGAATTGCTGAATTTGATTATATAGTTAAAACATAGTTGATAATTGATCAAATTTGCGTTTTTTATTATAAAAAATTTAAAAAATTTGCAGCAAGAAAACTAGATTTTCTACAAGCGTTGCTGCGCGTTACACGAAGCTAAATGATTACGCTTGCAATTAATATTCACCATAATTTGTAGAACTAATAGCACATCAGCGTTAAACGACGTCTCGGCCGAGCGTTGTGGGTGAAACTCGCCGGGATGTAATTAAATTTTAGGTCCCTTTTTTCCACCACCAAGCGTTCGCACTTCCTTTAACCTCCTTCCGCATTCAGTCTTCCACCAAAGGACAAAACTGGCATTTTTCTTCGAACGTTACGCTTGATTTATGCACAATAACGTATTCAGTTGCGCGCTCGCAAATTTTGCGACGGCTGAACAATATTCGCCGAATGGAAATTTTCACGTGTCACCAAAATGTGCGAATTGCGGCTGAAATCCCCGCCAATGTTTACACTCACGCGATGCGACTGGCGCGAGATGTGTTTTAAGACGAGCTTTTACGCTTTTCGCACCCGCGAGCTTCGTTATTCGGCGTTTTCCATCCGAAAAGCTCTCAAACGCAGCGCTTTGAATGTTCGATGAATAATAAAACATTTTAACACTTAAACAGAATTTTTGAAAAAGTTTTTAATGGATCCATACGTTTAAATGCATTAAATGACGGCCATCACTGACGGTTTTATTTGTCTTGGGTGTTTGAGAAGAAAAACAATGCGTTGAAAGTGTTTGCGAATTGAATTTCATATTAGTTCGCACTTTGAGTGAGATTGTTAGCCAGAGGGCGCGTGGAGAAAAGGGAAAAAGTCACAAATCACGTTCAGCGTCTGCCGGCCGCCATATTTCTTGCCGAAGAGCGCCATTTCGGTATAAAATTCATAATGCGCCCATTAAAAGATGCAACGCGGTGGCAATAAATAAAGTCGCGAGCCGGCCATCCAACATTCAACATTTCTGCCCGCCGTTTGGCAAAACTCAGCATCCGCACCCCTTGGAAAACATTCAAGCAAGGTGCTCAGGAGGCAAACGTTTTGAAAAACGATGGTGTAATACGACGCCTACGTGTTTGCCGCATTTTAGGGGTTGAATTTAGGAATGTTGCATACATATTAATACATTTACCTTTAAAGACACCGCAGGGTGTTTATGTATTGATTTCAACCCTTTTCTCAGTAAACTACTCTTTTTTGTGCAAAAATTGAGCTTATTTAGCTTATTTTCGAAATGAAAGAAGCTTTAATTGAAAATTGAAAATGTTGTTGGCAAAGTTGTTTATATGCAAAACGGTGTCGAGCAAAACTCGAGACTGATGACTATTGCAAAACTTCACTCAACTCTCTCAGCTCTAATTTACCACCCCTCAAGCCCGAACTTGCCACGGCAGTCGACTCAAGCTCGTAATTTATTTCCATCGCTTTCGAGGCAAGAAATTGCAAGTAAAGCACTCTTTTGAAAGCTTCGACGCTCAATGACGCGATTTCAATTCGCCCATAATAAACGACCTTCGCAATTTCAAAGCTTCAAAATTTTCACTATGAACACCACAATATTTTCGGGCAGCCAAAAACACGGTGAAACGGAAAATGCACTCGAATTGAAATCTCGTGCCTGGTAAATTAGAGCCTGGTTTGCGAGGCCACAAAGTAAGACATTAATCTCTATGTTTTGGACTTGTTTCTAAGATTAATAGTGACCCAAATTATACCCCTAACATCGGTGACTTGCGAGTGAACCTTTACATAATTTCCCAACGATCACTCTGCGGAAAGTTGATGCGGACGTAACGTCCAGCTTCAGAAGCGTGTTTTTCCTCGTCGAACCCTTTAATCATTCAAAATTTTAGCCCACACACAACTTGTATAATGTAATTAAATTAATTAAACAAAAAACAGTTTTTAAAGAGTTTTTAAAAATGTTTGTATAAAAGTTTTTATTTGTTTTTAATAATTTGAAATATGCATGAAAAGCTCTTGAATATTTAAGGTAGCTAGAGAGGCTTGGCAAGGGTCGGATGGGCATAACGAGACCATCTACCTATAAACAGATTTTCCGCTACGTTGTGCAGTGCCTCTCAGTTGAAAAGTTTTATAAAACGTAAACACATGATGAAAAATCTTTGGGACGGAAACGTATTTCTTCTGGCGTGCATAAAACTTTCCGAATGAGAAATGCTATGCACTACAAATAGAAATAACATTCGCTGTAAATTCAATATTTAGATAGCTTATATAGCTCATGTTTATTAAATACCTAATAGCGTTTAAATCTAAAATGTTCCGCTTTTCCATATTTTGGAAAGTTGCAAGCTTCCTTGAAATCCACTATGATATAATATTTAATGCAAATTTTTCCACTGCTGCGCTGTTTTCTTTGCTGCGCAGACATTCTGCAAGAATGTCGCATGTAGAAAATCATCAATAAAATGTCCGCAATGTCTGAAAACGCTTGCGAACGCATGCAAATGCAGGAAAACGTTTGCAGTGAAACCGTCGCCGGCGCGCGGATCAAAGTGTTCTCTCGGCGTAATCGCAATCGTAAGAAGAAGGGATTTCGTCTACGTCTAAATAACTTGTCTGGCGCGACGTTATGGGATTGCGGAATTCGTATTTAAATTCCCAAGGTGACGTCTTCTTCTACATTAGGCAGCAAATGAGGCAAAATGCGAATGGCGCGCCCTCGACGTATCGCGCATTGTAGCGGACGAGAACGCGACGAGGACGACAAGGACTCGAGTTTCAAGCCTATAACTATGTATTCAATACTGCTAAATTTGCACAATAGAATTCCGAGCTGTATCTGGAAAGTCTTTTAACATACCAAATCAGTTTCAACCCTTTAAAGTGAATTTAAACTTTCAAAAAACATTTTTTTACATTTTTAATGTTTTATTATTCAACTCATACCACAAAAATAAAAAAAAACACATGCGAGAAACTTTAACATAAAGTCTAGCAAGTTTTGGTGTTGAAACTCAACTCCAGAGACTGAGTTGTTAAGAGTTTTGGATCAATTTCATCGTAAGATATAAAATAAAGTAATAAGAAGTAGTAAACAATGATGTAAGTAATTTGTAATAATTTAGTACTTACCAAGAAGTAGCAAACATAATCCGAGCCAAGGAACTCTTGGAAATCGATGTTTATCCTCCATGTTGTGTGGAGAGCTTTTCAAGATGCGAATGCGAATCGACTTGAATGAACCCGTATTAATTTAATAATTTATATGCGGTGGGGTGTCGGCAAGTGGTGTGTTTCGTCTATCCGGATCGTGGCATCCTCTTAACGTCTGGAGCGTCTTCTCGCGAGCGACGTGGAGTGCCGCAAACGCACGTTCGATTGTGTTGTGAGCGTCTCGGTACTGAAAACAAGAGCAAACCAGTTTGTAAAGAGCACTTTATTACTTAACCAGCCACGCATTGTCATCTTAATTGAATACAATTTTAATTAATTTACTTTTACTTTTTTCGAGTTTAAAAAATCTTTTACGTTTGTTTAGCCTTGGTTTATTTACTTAAAAGAAGCTTTTGAGCTTTCGGTAAAGCAGAAGGTGGTTTCTAGTCATCCGGTGGCAGTCGTCTTTAATTTGCCGCCCCCACATTTCCATACTATTTCAATTCGCCCATGGCCTTTATATCGTTAATGCAAATTTACAAGAACTTTCCACTTAACATTCGCTCATTCGCGCGCACCCCTTTCGCGTATCGACAGACTGTTGCTGCCGCGAGCAGGCTTGCCATCCATCCTTCAGTGAGCAGCAACCGCCCGCAGTCGATACTTTATTCGACGTGTATCGACTTGCTTTGTGCGGTTTAATGTAAGCGCAGAATGTTCGAGAAGTGTGCTTAAAGCTCGCATTGCCATTACGAGTATGCATGTGTTGGAGTAGTATTTTCAGGACGTGCTTAGACTCGAGACTTTCATCTGTGCCTCTCGGAAAGTTGCAACTTGCTAATGCCATGCGCATTAAGCGACAGTAATTTATTCCTTTCTTTTATTAAGCGCTGAAGGATATTAACTCCCTTTGGCGCAGAACCCTGATACAGATTTATTCGGTAGGTAGGAGTAGTTTTGGGTTTGGTTACGAGCTTCAATCCGGATGTAAATGAGACAAAGTGTTTTCTTAGGTCTCTCCAAACGGGTTACAGGGTTGTATTAACTATATACAAAATTTTTAAGTTTCAATTTGAGTCTAAATCAATTTTGTAGAAAAATGTGATTTTAAACAAGAAAATTTATTGTCTGCATTGTCAGCAAACCGGAAAACTTCGTTGAAGATGTGCCAAAATTTATCAACACTTGAAACAACTGCTGACTTGCGAAAAACCTAACCTCACATAAGATAAAACTCTCTAACAAATGAAAACTATGCAAACTATCCAAAGCAATATCATTATCCTCCTAAATCTCTTCTCATGCTACATTTTCCATTCCATTTTGACACTTCCACTTTGACATCGTGCAATCCTCCAAATCAACTGCTACTCTCTGCAATCCTCTCCTCGATATTCTTTTATACGCGTTGATATTGACTCAGCGCACCTATATAAGGTTAGATTCCCGGATATCTAGGATATCTGGAATATCTAAGATGTGGGTTATCTTTGTGTGAGCCACAAACGGGCTTTTTCTCGGCGTCCTTTTGTTTGGCCGACGCTTCCGCCGCCGATGCGTCGATCTGCCAATAACCGTTCCGCTTTATTATCGAGGCGGCCGCGCGCAGTTCGCTTTTATTGGCACATAGTTTAAAATATCAATCGAATCATCCATATCACGTCGACGCCAAACAGCCGACGGTTTAAAACCGGCCGGGGCAATCCTCAGAGGATCACTAAAGTAAATTTAAAAAATAAAAGAATTTTTTTGTATCAAATTCTTGTAGTGTTGTAATTTATTGCTTTGAGTTGTTTTGGTCACAAAACTAGTAAAGTTTATGATGATTTTTTGAAACACAGTGAGTGAATGTTGGCGAGTCCAAGTTATCGTTTTAACGCCCCCTTCGGAGTAACAACTTCGTTTCGTCTTTATAACAATCATTAAGTTTAACGCGCGGACGTCATATTTCCGCCAAACTTCCACAGGGTTTTTCACGTCGTGGGCGTATATTCATCACGCGCCAAGTGCCCCGGTTTATTGCCGCACCCCTATCAATTGTATACCACCTCCCGTCTCGGCAGACAACAATTTTATAACTTCATGAATTTTAATTAAGTTTTCCACACGCCGCTTTTGCATGATACGTTCCACTCGAGCTGAATTGTTTGTTGATGTTCGTCTTCCGCCCGCGCAACACAACAGAGTACAACACGTTTCGTTTTGTTTTCTTTGAGTCTCCGGAAGAGCAGCGAAGAATGCAAAACAGGCAAACGGCAAACAAATCAAGCACACGCCCAAGCGAATTAAGTGCACGGATGTTAAGTGATTTTTTTACAATTGCAAACACAATGTCTTTCGTCTCAATAATTAATTTGTCATATAAACAATACCAATTTAGAAATTAGCAAAAAGCAGTAACATATTCGAGATAATCAAGATGTGAATTTTTGCGCAGAGAAAATTGTTTCACTTGAAAGTAAGCAGTTTGCTTGCCTTTTAAGTGTTGCAAAGCATTCAAAACTGAAACTAGAAGTGCTGAAGCGCGCTGCTGAGGAAGCCCGAGCAGAAGAAACAAACGCAATTAGGATGAGCCGAGTGTGATTGCGCTGGAGGCGTGGGGTTGCAAGCGGGGGGTTGGCCACGCTCTTTCTCGGAATGAACTGATCATCCCGAGATGCCGGCCGAAGGCACACAATTGCGCACGACGCCTCGAAACTCAAATAGCCATCGTAAAGTTTCCGCTTCCTAACGGCGCTGGCGTCGGCAGCTCGCCGCCACCTTAAGAACAAAAGGGTGCAAAACTAGACACACGCTCCAGACTAAACTCCAGGCTAAATTATACACTCAAAGACATCCTCATTAAATAGACAAACTTAAAATTAACAAAAATTAAAGAAATTGATAGCGACAATTCAGGGTCTTTGTAAATTCATAGAAATTTATAGAAAAAATTAAAATTTTTGTTTGCGTTGGTGCTTGAGGCATACATGTATGCCCAAAATTATACAAGCTGATTACTCGCAATTAGCAACTGAGCAAGCAATTCATTACGATGGCACCGACGCACATCCGCTCAGCGTTTGCCATGTTCGCCATCCAACATTCAACATTCAACAGTGAATTTGCGCCCACGCCACTTCACCCCCAGTTGTTCTCGACGTTTTAAAGTGCCGCTGAAGAAATTGCTTGTCGGCGATGAAGCAAAAGGGTAACTTCGTCAACGTCAACTTGTGCCAGTTCATTTTTTATTTGCAAATGTTCAAAATCTCACGAGGGGAGCAAAAATGATTTTTTAACTTTTTCTATATTATATGCAGATTAAAATAATTGCACAATTTTATTTTTTATTGCTAAATGCATAAAATTATAGAGACTTTTTTGTAACAAAAAAATCCGCTGCTGTGAGCGTGGCAAGGTACTATTCATTGAATTATTTATCAATCAAGTTTAATGCGATGTGACAGTTCACCCCAAAGCCTCACCCTGCTTCATCCAAAAACTCCACAACAAAACGAGGCACTGCCAACTGGAAACTGGAACCTATATCGCGCTTGCGTGCATTTTGCATGCGCCTGCATTTGGCATTCACTCCCAAACCACCCTAAAAGTCCAAAACACCGAAATGTCTAAAGAGCGTCGAAACTTTTTGATGAAAACGAGTTAAATCGAATTTAAAATTTTTATTGCTATTGTTTTCGGTTTTATTCTTCACAAAAAAAATAAATGGTGGAAAATAGCAACATGTCAATATATTGAAGTTGATGGTTGGATAATATTGGAATAAGTAATTAAATTTTAATAAAAATGTTTTAAATATTTTGCGGCCTTTTTAGCCATGCGGAATTTAATTGAATTTTATCATTTCATCAGTTAGTTCATCACTAATAGGGATGCGCCTCTCTTCATTACGGTATTTTACTGTTTGCTGTGGGCTTTCAATTAATTATAATTTTTATTCTGTGTCTGTTAAAAAGGTACAAAAAATTCATTTTTATCATATGAAAACCTAAAAAATATTTGCAGAAAATTTAAGCACAAAATACGAGCAGAAGTTTCATGAACACAGGAAATCCATGACACATTTTTGTCGCACCCGGATATTTATTGACAAACGCGTCAAACTTTTCCGGTGCGTGTTGGATAAATAAACTTTGACGAAACCACCCCATACGTAATACAAGATAATAATAGTTTCATTATTTCCATCTCTAAAAGCTCTAAATAAATATTTTACAAGGGTAAAACTTTTAATTATTCAAAACTTTTAAAAGTTCACATTGTTTGTTCACCGACTGTCCGAAAAATAAAACAAATTAAACGCGTAAAAATATGATGTGAACGCTGCGAACTGATCATGTGTAAAAATATTGACCTGAAATTTAAAACCGTTCAAACTTTTATCGTGAGTAATGTTGGCAAAGAAGATTAGAAAACTTTTGCGCTACCATTATCGAAAACGTCTTCATTTTTCATTTTGTATAAATTGTAATTTTATTTCAATAACAATGGTCCTGTCGGAGGGCGAGTGGTGTCGGTTGATGACTAGGGCAGCTAGGGATAGTCTGCGGCTGATGACGGGGGCCATTCGGGGATAGTTTGCCTCATAATGAGAGCCGTCAAGCCGGCGAGACGCGCCGAGATAATTGTCAATTTCAGTCAGCTGCCGGCAGGCCCTCCTCTTGAAGTTAATTAATCTGTGGAATGAATTCATTTCGTGTTCCACAATTATAACCAACCCAAACCTAAGTTTTAAAAAAATGTATATAAATAGACAATTAGGTTTTATGAAAGTAGTTTTTTTTGTTGTTTGGAGTGTAAGGTCGAAGATTCAAGATTCAAGATTCAAGAGTGACATCAGGTCATGAAGCGAGAGTCAGCGACGCTTCATGCATACCAGGCATGCAGCTGTAGCTGACAGGGATGAAAGCGACAGCATTCTTATGCAGATCACATAAAACAATCAAAATGTTTGCATCATCATCTCTGTGCGCCCGCTGGCAGAGGGTGGCAGCGAATGGCTCGACGGCGTCGTGCCGGCGGAAGTTGTTGGAGAGAACAAAATCACTTATGCCGTTGACATTTTACGAAAAGCACGGAGTAGGGGCGCACACCAGAGAACTACTTACTGGTGCATTTGCGAAACTAGCTTCCCTCGGCTCGACTGTGATGTTGACTCGACCCCGTTCAGAACACAGCGCGCCAGCCGAATGGTACGAAATGGAATGGTTCGCGCACGAGATGAAGTCGGGAGTAGTTTGGTGGAGA